CAACAAACAAAAATATTCTACAAAAATATTTCGTCTGTTTCAAAAGGATTACACAATGTCAAATGTTTACAATCTCCCCAAATAGACACATGATTCATACTTTTCCTCGGAAATCGCCAAGTGAACTGAAGCATAAACCACGCAGTTGCCCTGTTTCTCCTTCAACACAAACCCGCCTTTCTTTTAATAGATGTGGTTTGGCAACTTGTATTCGTCTTTGTGGGTCAACTCCCGTCAAATGGCTAGGGCATATTCACTGCAGAACATACTTGAAGTCAGTTGAAATGTACGCTGAGCCATCCAGGCTACACATATTTACTCAGTAAGGGTCCATTATACAAAGCACATATCTCATTGAATAAAATTGGAGCACCGTGACAACATTTGATAGCATAAACATATCAGTCATGCATGAGAGTCGAGATTCTTTGGTCGCTTTTTGAACGCTAAATATATATATTTAGCCAGATAATAAATTCGACGATTACAGTAGTGTTCTTAGCCATTCTGCCTTGGAGCCCTAATAATTGTTTTGCTTTGCCAGGACCTTAGAGAGAAGTCAAGGGAGGGTCATGAAAAGAATGTACAAGGACTTGGGGAGGGACATTCAAACTATAACAAGCGTTAGGAGGGGGGGGGGGGGGGGGGGGGGGGGGGGGGGGGGGGCGGTCATTATTGTCTGTACATTAGTGCATCAAAAACAACTGATAGGTCCCTTATCACAATAAGATTAAGAACGAGGTAATATGAGCATTGATTGAGGGTATCAACACATATGAAAATAAAGCAATGTAAACCCAATATTTCACAGGGTAGAAATCATATTGTTTTAGTACCGGTAATGTGAGCATATAAAACTATTTAAAATTCATAATGTTGATATCCGAAATGATACATATCTTTCTCAGGCATGTAAATATTTAAATCGGATTTTAAAATCTTTTGTATTTTCAACTCAATTGGCCAGTTAAATCACATAACTGGTGTTACAGCTGATACAAGTTCCGTGTGACTGAGAGATTGAGTTGGGTTTTACGTATGTTTTAAAAGTATGTCAGTTATATCACGGCCTGTCAGCTGCATGTAGGTAACAAGTCCGAAGTGGTGCAATTTGTGGTGACGATCATTTCCTGAACACATTTTGTGAGTTTAATGAAGGAGTTATTCCAAACAGAGTTATTTCCCTTTACAAACACCTGCCAGCACACCACCCACACCACTGTTGATAAAATCACTGCACGACAGCTTAAAAATGGAGGAAAGCCGCAAGTATTAAACCGTACTCAGGGTGCGGGTGTTTAATATACCTTTTACAAATGTTTGCTTTTTATCTTTTGACTTTAGCCTTGGGTTGTGTACATGGGAATTCGAGCTTGAAGATGTAGATAATAGGTGTATTAAGCTGATCAGAAGCGAACGTAAAACCTCCGGCTCGTGGTATAAAACCTGACGCGGGACGCATAAAACCCCATGTACCCCTCGTGATCCAGCTACAACTTATAATGTACCCTGAGTGATCCTGCTACAACGAATGTATCTTGCCGACATGTTTTAATATGACATTGTAACAGAATGAAAACAAATTCATTATTGATAGAAAACAGCTGTTCGATTGAGCTGATGTTAACTTGTGCTATGTCACATGACTTCATTTACTCGGAAAAAGCGTGAGGCATTTTGCATCGAAGCGGACTATAAGGGATTTATTCTGCCTCTCAGAAATCCACGTGAAATTTGACTTGCTCGTGGCGGGGTATGAGGGATTTATTCTCCCGCTGAGAAATTTATTTCCCACTAAGGCGGGATACATGTCCCATTGTCGTACCTCCATGTCAGAATGATGAGATCTAATTGGTCGCCGTGATCTTGATAAAATACCATGTAACTTCTCGGGCTCGGCATTAAGGGGGTAAAACAAGGAGTCATTATATTGTGTCTCAGTGCGGTATCCAGGTTAAAGTACGACGTGGTTTCTCAGTGGGCAAGCGCTATAACACCGTATCTCTCTCACCGTCTACTGTATAGGTTTGCTAATCCTGCTTAAGTATCTATATATTATTATTATTATATATTATGCTAAATTAGACAATATACATAAATATACAATGAGTATAAAAAGTGTGTTATTTTTCTTTTTACTATTCCTTTGAAAGTTAATCTGTTTTTAGGACAAGCAAAGTTTAAATATTTCTAATTTTCCGCATAGCTGGTTATTTATATTCTCCGGGTGCAAAAGACTGATAAAAAAAAAGATGAAAAAGAATGAAACAAGAATACCTTAAGACACGCCACTGTAGTGTTAGAAGACTACGGTAACGAGAATTCACGACCGTACATTGGAGGGGTATATTCGTGATACAGCAGAATGTATATGTGGGATTTCTATGAACAATGTAATAACAACAACCTACATTGTGACAATATGACCCTGTAATGAAACCCATACATGCTATTTTACTTAGATAAAATATGTTTGTATTATTTTGTCCTTTGAAATATCATTTAAATTGATATAAGACTAATTTCATCATATACATGTGCTGCCGTAAGGGTGTGTAATACTATTAATTAAATGGATGCGGATCCGTTGGCACTTACATCACGTTTATTCTTCCAGCTGTGTTTTATTAAACGGTAAACAACGACCACAATACGTTTATTTCTTTAAATGAGATATTTTCAGCCTCTTTAAGGATGAGGGAAAAATGCACAAGCTTTAAAAATATTTACCCAAATTTTAATAATGATGACTCTCTGAATAGAATCCGACCTCGGCAGTGTCGGACAACTCCCATTTAAGCAGGTCGATATTTCCCGCATATTGTCACAATCCTTACGTCAATTACCTGTACCGTTTCTCCCAATACCTATTGTCATATCTCTCCCGCTGTTGGGTACGATCGTTAGGCCATCGCGTTTATCTGCGTTGCCCAGCTACATCTATGGGGAACAACTCACAAGACACTCCCCTCTGAAAAATAACGCCGTCCAATATACGACGTCATGAAGTTGCGAGCGCCTGTTCGAATCTCCAGAAATGACGTCCTTCTATTGTAAAATAAATAAACAATTCCTTTTTCTTTTTTCTTTGCAATTTGTCGCGTAGCTATCTTATATTTATTATAGCCTGCTACCAATCTTAATTAATGTGGGCAAAATGTATAGTCTGAAAGGGTTGTAGTATGGCTGGGACGGGTAACTCGGGTACTCGGGTCGGATGGGTCCTGAGTAGGACACGGATACCCACAGGACTACCCGGACCCGTGGTTAATCACGTTATATATTGTTTAATGACAAAAATTATCTTAAACTCTATGGTTACACTATAAGACACTAATGTGCCCATTTCTTTCTGACAATGCACCCATTCCTTCTTACTTTTATATGTTTGAATAAAGATAAAACTTCATGCATTAAACTTCAGTGTATGCATGAGCGGATCGTTTTACACGTGTACCAAATACATTTTGCCAGGGCTACGGTCAAACCTTTCCAAATCGGACAGTTTGTACCTATCTCTAAATACAAACACAAAACACTACACAAATACAGCTGGATATCACATTCTTTATTTCGAACCAATGTAGAAAATAATAAACAGGACTAATCACAGGCATTGCATTTCAGTGGCAACACGGTCTGTTGTCAACAACTGATAAAGGGAGACAACTGTGTCGGCCTTAATTACCGTCACGATCTGGCTGCACCTGTCACTGCATGGCTGACAGGAGTGAGGCTGGAGTATCCAGCTGCATCAGTAAACAATTGCATCATAAATAACAACATAATCGACTGGTGAAGACTTAAGCCCATTCTAGTTTACTTATATTATGTGGATTAAACCAAAGAACTACACATATCCTTTACCAATTTTATATCCCACCAAATTACTCGAATTGGCAAAGTGACTAAGACACATTTACAATTGTGCATTCCGGTTAGGTATGTTTTGATGGTAAGCCCAACAACAGATTATATTCTTAAGCCATTACCATTATGACTTTGATAATACCAAGCTACGACTTCTCACTTAATGTAATATTCATAAATAAATCCATAACATTGTGATAGTTCGTGGAAAAATAATGTCACGCCCTTAATTTTCAGTATTTGGACGGACATGTAACGTGCATAGCAATAGCATGGTTGTCACGGTAATAGATTTATGACATGTGCATGCGGGTATGAATGACATGTAACAAGTCAGTGTTAATTAAACGCATTTTATTTTAGCCCGGACACTCATTAATCCAGACGATGTGGATGGGAATTATCCGAAATGGTGAGGTTTTACTGTTATTAGGGGGACACATTCACGTGATATCTGATTTGGTCAATAAGAAACACGTTCGCTTGTGTCACGGTGTGTGTCGAATGACGGCCATTCAATGATCGGTATAGGTGGACGATGGATGCACGTAGTCATGGTGTACTGATGATTCATACTGTTGGTTTTTGCTAATGAACATTATTAACATATAAGCATATGAGTTATTGACAGCAGGTCAAGCGATCCAGTAATTGAAAAACCATACACAGGTGTGTGAGTACCCAACTAACACCTACTCCGTCATTAGATTCGCGGGTATGATTTAGTGTTGTTTTATAAATTTACTTTAGAAAAAATCGTTTCTCACCTTTGGGGTTTATATATTTGAACGCTTGCTTTGGGGATCAATCGATGGTCATTTATAATTAGCTCCTATTCTGTTGGTCGATAATTGTTTTTCTACAGAGTGGTCCATGTCAGGACAAAGTAGGTCAATCTTGTGTACCCAGTGTACAGCATCTCCATTCCTTTACGATGAAGGCCTAGCGTATAAGAACTCGTCTTATTCATCACACAAACGTCTAAATGCCACTCGAAGAGGTCAGGTGAAATGGGGTTTAACGTCGCGTCCAAGATTATTACACTTATATAGCGACGTGCATGCCGATTTATAGTGCCAGCCCACTGAGATACCATGCCGCAGTTAAACATGAATACCCCACTCAGAGACAGTATACTGACTCCGAGCCGACTAGTCCTTGTTTTAGCCCCTTAATGCCGAGCGTCAGACAGGGTAACAACAAGTACCTTCTTTTAACGTCTTTTGGTATGACGCGGGCGGACCCTGATCCACTAAATCAGGGAGGCGGTCTCCACTCGAAGAAGCTATTTATCTTAACAATGGCGATCTAAGACACTTGATAATCAAGGATGCAACTTTTGAATGCTCCTGTAAGGCTGTCAAATATAAAGTGAAAACAATATTTGATTGAAAGTGAAGCAATCGTGAGACGTACCCGTAACAAATAACAGATGTATGTGACATTTGACTCAGTGGCTGTGTGTTCCTCCCCTAAAAGGGCATGCCCAAAGTATCACAAGATAAAATCTTAAATCATGGTTTGTGAATGAGAAAACAAAAATTAGTCAATCTTGGTTCCGGCGTCGTACACTCCGATGGAAGCCTCGATTTGGTTCTCACATGTGGTTCCAAAATTTCAGCATTTTTCTCAAGGAGAAGCTTGACCGCCTCCCGTTTCGACGCCCTGTTAGCATAAAACAACGGAGTCCTTCCGTAGGAATCTGTCGCATTCACGTCAGCTCCACGACCGATGAGATAATCCATAATTTTCACATGCCCTGAATTCGCAGCTATGTGCAGCAATGTACATTTCCCAGGGAGTCCCTCGGGTTTTCCCATGGGAAAATTCACATCCAGACCAGCACTTAACATAACTTTCACAAGCTTCTTTGAACCTTTCTGTGCGCATGCGTGAAGCGGTGTCCATCCTCCGATATTGGTGGTGAATATTGCACGTGCAAGTGGTCGGTTTGTTTTGACGAGATGTTTGGCTTGCTGGTATAGCTTGCTTTCGTCGTGACGTAACAGAGCGATTGCACCTATTGACATCTGCCTCACGTCATTGCTACTTCCGTTTAGCCTCTTTCTGAAAGCGTCAGTCAACGTTGGCATAACCTCTTCGCCTTCCGTGGTTGCTGGAACAGAAAGACAGAAACACCAAAATTATAACTCGGTCGAATACGAAAACAAGTGAGAAGGGAGTAAAGTTTCTTTTTAAACAGATGTTGTTGTTTTTTGATTGTTTGTTTGTTGTTTAACGTCACACTCAGCAATATTCCAGCTATATGACGGCGGTCTGTAAATAATCGAGTCTGGACCAGCTATCCATTGATTGACATCATGAGTATCGATCTACATAATTTTAAACAGATGCGTGTCCAAAGAATGGTACTAAAGGTGTAACCTTTCCTTATTAGGACATTCAAGAACACGTCTACGAACTCGAATTTAATTATCTAGTTCAACCAAGCAGTAAATAGCTATCCTCATGATACAGACATATCTTGTCAATTTCACAAACTGTTAAGACAGCAAACACTTGTGGCGAGACGTCAACTGAAATGAGTTTCAAGTCGAAGGATAGTACGATCTTTAAGTCTAGACTGTATACTAACTGTCCTGTGGGAAATGAGGATGCTGCCTGTTGGTGCTGAAACTAAACGTGTGCCTCTACTGGGGTTTCCAGATGGGGGAGGGTGTGATTGAGGTCAATCGGGCAGACAAAGGCAGTTGGTAGAGAAGATAGTCTGTCTTACAGACCCTGATACAAATATATCAATTACAGCCCACGCAAGTCTATAATGTTTGGCAAGTCTAGATTACTGCAGTATCTGAAAATGGAGAGAGTCACTGGGCTCCCTTTTATTATATTTTTATTAAGATAACTGAACAACTGTTTTTTTCTGTACGATATGTTCATTTCAGAGACTAGATGTTAGTCTAGTAGAGAAGAGTTCCTTCTATTTCGTTTCTACAATTTTACATGCAGCCTTTACCCATGAACGTTCCGTGTGGATTGGACAGAAAGAAATGTATAACGTCGTTAAGCGAAACCGTTATTTATATACGATCACTTACGTATATACACTAAGATATGTTACTCAGAAAACGTTTATTCGGGTTAAAAGGAACCGATTTGGTAAATGAGTTTCCAATGGAAGAAGATATTAAAACAAGAAGATGTTGAACTCCAGATGTTAAAACATGATTTACCGGAGACTAATTGGTCAGAAAGGGTGCCCAATAGCATTGCGAAAAACGGGTTTAGCAAAGTTTAGGTCGGACTGGTGGATCACATCGCAGAACAAACGAACGAGATTTCATGAATTGTTTGTGGTCTGCTAATGAGTGAGTGAGTTGAAATTAAACGTCGCATTGGCATTATTTCGACCATGTACGACAACCGGTCTTGATATTTACAAGCACATGTCTGCAGTTGAGGGATACGATGGACTATAATACGCCGGACTAAAAGTCGGACTGGCAAACCAACGAATCGAACAAACGAACGAAAAAGACCATGAATTGTTTACGAACCCTGACTGAGAGATACGCCTGGCACAACAACGGACAGACAGATCGTCCAAACAATTTTAAAATACAGATCTAATCGACACACAAACAGATGACTGACATGGACATATGGATACATGGAGAATACAGACATCAGCGGTCAGATGGACAGTGTGAAATAGAGTGAACTTTCGATAGAAACCACAGACAACCATACATCTACATACCAACTGTTACATTCATGACCTCCGGCAACGCTTCCTTTATACTGGTAATTATTGAAGCCGTTATGATTTATATAGATCACGAAGATCCTGATAGAGAATAATGGTACACTGACAAACACCTTCTGGCGTGGGCTTATAATAGCCATATGTTACCACTGAGTCACGGGCGCGTGTTTATCAACGTTAATAGAAACGTTAACAATACACTCTACATCACTAAAAACCAGTGGAATATATGTTTAGTAATAATTTCGGAAAGCAAAACACGCTATCAAATTGCAGTGGATTGAGAGTATAACGTCCACGGCTGACGCGTTGACTGCGCGAATAACGATGTTCCCACTGCAGTGCGTAAATTAATTCCCTGAATAAACGCCTACTTTGAATACACGCGGGGTCAAAATCTTTAAACATTTATATTCCTTTTGGTAATCAATAAAGTGATATTGAAGACGTTGAAGACGTTGAAGACGTTTTCATTCAATACAAACCTTACAAGTTTTATTTAAATTACACGTCCAGTCATAGAAATTAAAAGTGTTTACCACAATAACAAAAATAGATATGGTGTAAGATGTCTTTGAAATATTTAGATCCCCGGGCGTCCGTTCAAGGATTTACGGTATCTTGAATTGTTTGAACTGATGACTAAGCATAAAAAACAATGCATATTAACATTAGAATACACACATAAAGAACGGCTGTGACGCTTAACTGTCAGTGGTAATGTCTATTATAATATTCGTGATTAATCAGAAACAGAATATATGTAAAGTTGGCGTTAATGAAACTCGACCACAGCAACACGATCGCATCTGATATGTGAATATATTTAATTACCCTCCACAGCGTTCGTTTCCATTACGCCGGTTCCCTGTTCCCGACCATATTGAATCAGTAGCTTCGACCGGCTTTCAATCCTATATGCACCTGCTTACAGTCACGTGTAGATATTATCCGGGATGTAATCGTCCATCAGCAGGTACAAGTGTATATAATGTTCTCATATACAAATCCTACAGTTATGCAAGAAACTACGTCACACCTAAACCGCACCATCCAACCGAAAAAGCCACGAGCGGGTGAATGATCTACAGCCCGTCATTTCCAGTTCCCGAGCCTTCCGGCTATCAATATTGGATAAAGTGTCTTATTGATGGCTGGTGGTCACGTGACCACAACACAGACATGGGGACGTTGCCATAGCGATCTGTAAACATTACCTCCAGAAGGTATTTTCGGTGGACTGAATTATCTGGTTTATTTCACAATTTCCCGAAATCGATAGGGTAAGGAAACGATAAAATGCTGTTTTTGTCTTTCATAATGATCACTTCGGAAATATCCAGATCGATACGTCCTTCCACAGTAGAAACAAGATGCTGAGTAAATGGTAAACTCTGTTCGATGAGTTATTTTGGTTTAATAGCGTGTTAATTACATTATTCGAAGAGTGGTGACCTCTTTATAGTGAGTGAGTATGGTTTTACGCCGCTTTTGGCAATATTCAAGCAACATTACGGCGGGGGACACAGGAAATGGGCTTCACACACTATACTCTTGTGGGGATTCGAACCCGGGCCTTCGACGTGACAATCGAACTCTTTAACCATTAGGCTACCCAACCGCCCCGACTTCGTTACAAAGTAACTATGATCGTTTTAAAAGTTATCCTATTGCATTGTTCGGAGTAATTTACTTCAAAATTCCTCCGAACTTCCTCTTAAACGGAAAGTGTACTGGTGTTTTATGTGGAAAATGAAGGACGCAATAGGATTTGTAAACAGTTTTACTATTTAAATCTAAATCTAAGCAAACTCAAATTTTAATTCAAATTCTTTCTGACCATATTTGTGTTATTTACAAAGAATGTATGGAGTATTCGAAATGGCCGATAGAGATGTACAGCAATGGAATTGATGAGCGAAGTGGTGATGACTGCTTATGACGATGCTTATACTGTCGATGAGTCCAATCTTCAAATTGCGATCTGCATCAAAAATCACCTGGGAGTTTCCAATAACATCATGACGACGTTACATATCGTGTTGCAGGAACGCTATGAGAAACGTCATTATGCTACTGACTCACCGACAGGCCGAGGTCAACATGATGCTCAAATAATTATGTATATCTACCATTTGAAAGAAGCAATATCAATGCATATTAATCGGTGAGAACACATTTACCTTTCTGCACTGTTCGACTCACCACACCAGACTATGTAATAGTACTCAAGAAAAGCCAAACTATAGATCATGCCTCGGTGATCATACTTAAGCAGGATATACGTGAATGTCTACTTTGGGTAATAACACACGAGATATATAGCACTCTTATGAAATAAGGTGTTTAAGGGTTTATTATCGAAGCTTATAGTTATATACAGGTGTATAATATTAATCGCATTTTAATTCAAATTACTAATAAAAATATATAATTAATGCTTTAAACTGCTGTTAATAATGGCGTAACAAGAAAAACATTGTTATATTTACCAAAAAGTAATCATAGACCTCTCCAGAGTCATCAAAACAATAAGAACAATTGTATTATTTAAATTAACAAGCATAAATGTTGCCTTTAAAATATTACCTCTTAAAGGAAAGGTTTTATTTGTCATAGTTCTAAAATCACTATAATTAACCCATAATTATCGTGGATTTAGAACTATGACATATTTAAAGCGTACAAAATAAGACTTTTATAATGTATTGTTGGTATAGCGATATATTACGAATTCATTTTTAAGTTTATAAAACCGAACTATTAACACAGGTGTTACGCATGATGGAATTTGCATTGATTATCCGGAATGAATCATTCTGCTTTATTCACGGCTCAAAGCTAGGTGTAAAGGCATCATTGCTTCTTATATTTTTCTCAAAAATAAAGTTGGATGACTTTTGTTTATATGTTTGATAGCCATTTCCTTTTATGATTGCTTGCCGCATCGTTATAAGAGAGTCCATGATAATATTAACTTCATTTCGTATCTACACAATCACACATAACAGTGTCGAGACACAAATTACGAATTTTTCATGAAATGTACAATTTCTATTTCGCTTTGGTACGCATAAAACTGTTTAGTATGTTCTTGAACTGTATGACCGATATCATTGATAGGTTTTAGCGGTGTTGTTAAGCACGGTATTTAATGTGTAATTGATCACTTAAAACGCAATTACTGAGAATTGACCTAAGGTATATAATAAATCAGCCCTGTTAGGATTAACCGGATTTATAGAAGACCGTGGCATCGGATTCCGCCGGCTAATTGATCGCGTCTTCTTTTTATCATGGTCCTCGTCAAGTACATTTCAGACTTGAGAGATATCATTTCAGCAATAAACCGATCGCTCATCAAGTTCAAATCAATCAGTTGCAGTAAACGCCCGTGGGTGTGAAGTCATCAAAGAGGGGAGTGCGTCTGTTTGAGTCACTCTACCCGTCCTTCATTTGTCCTTCAGGAGTAGTTGTCGTTTTCGCGATGTAATTGACTTGAAAGCGTTGTTGTAGAATTTATCTACTTGGCGCATCGTTTCATCGCCATCAGCAACATATGAACCCACAACTACGAGGTCATTGTACACAACGCCCCAGGCACCGTCGTGGTCATCATTTGGCGTTGTCCTCCTCTTCATCACCCCTTTTCATTCGGAACATTCACTCCTTTGCTATATAGCTGATTGTTAGTGAGTGAATGTTAAATAACAAACAACAAACAAACACACTGTGTGATAGTTATTCTTGGCGTTCACCATGATATGATATTGCTATAGTTGATATTGCTAATAAGTTTCTTCAATCAATCAATTAATCAATCATTCAATCAATATTGTCGACCTCGACATCACTGTCATGAATACTATAATTGCCGTTATCCTCTGCCCATCGAGTCGCTTGTCCCCATCAATACAACCAACGTCATCCTTTCATAATCAGCATCCCCATCGCTCCCATTACCATCGTCAACATGCGCTCATCTACGTCCTTCCATGCAGAGCAGCGTCATCGGTAACACGGTTAGCACCACTTCCTTCAATGTCATTAGCAAAACAATCTGACGTCATCCCTACACATGCGACACTATACAGTATTACAAATCACATGTCACACATGCGAACAAACTAGCGTCCATGCCGGGAGCTATATGAGTGAATAGCGCCTTATGTAACAAATCCACGTCGCCCTTCACAGCTGTTACACAACAAGATTGTTTTATGAGCAAGCTCTCGGGTACTTTTATGGAGAGAGAGAGAGGGGGTGGGGGAGCATAATTGTTCAGGGACTGCTGCTGGTGAGAGTGCTCTCTTCGAACAATTGTAAATGGATCTATCAATACTCGTACAAGAGCGAGAAAGGTTACGGAGTGCGCGTGAATTCGAATTTGCTTTAATTATAGAAAAGGTTTGTGGAATATGTAGAACTACGAGATGGCCCGTTTTCTGTTAAACATAGTCAGTGTTGGAAGTACCATGCTCCCTACTGAGGTGCTAATCAATACTATATGACGATGGAGTGGTGGGAAAAACGAAAAATCGATTATTGGCTCAGGTAGGAATTGTTAATGGTGAGAAAAGCAAGTTATCAATGGACATAAGAGGATTTGTTCTTGATTAAAACATTTTCCCGTTTGTTGATGGACTGTCCGACCGCTCCTGCAATTCTATGGACTAACTGCACCAGCGCATACTCATGCTTTCTGAAACATTAGCTCAGTGAAAACAGGAGTATCTTTTATATTTCGAACCGTTTCTTATATATGGTCTTACAAGGAAATCCACATTTCAGCGAGTATATCGTTTTAGTTTGTGGGCAGTGTTCCAAATTAAGAAGGCAGGGGTTGCCAAAGGTAGGCTTCACATTTTGGGCGTCACGAGAAAACACGAACCTCCAAAGGGGCGGACCATTAATATCTTAATTGTTTAGTTTTGAATTTAATGGGGTGGGAGACTCTGAAGGAAGAGCCGAAATATTTAATGTACACAATCACACTTTTCTTGGACATCCGATTTTGTTTTAAAATCTAATTATAAAGTACTTCCATATTGGCTTCCAAACATTTTTTTAATGTTTCGACACCCCAGCCAAACACCCTTACCCGCACCCACATCCTATCCGCCAACCGACAAAACAAATCGGTGGAACACTGATATGTTCAGAAATATTATTGGTACCGGTAGGTAATCGAGTATAGGAGAGGCAAACCAATGGATGACAGTATGAGTAAAAACGATACACGATACACAATAATCTCCAGGTATTACATCAGTCTGGTCATGGGGTTCTTTGGGATAGAGTCTTGTTTTAAGGCTCGGACAGTGATGGTGTTAATGTCAATTGGTCGAAAATAGTGCACACCTCCAACCAACAAGAACATGCGCTATATTTCAGATCAATTTATCCGGGTAGATCCCAAACTTATACGATGGCAACTTTAACACACACGTAGAAGCACGATAGTCGCAGTGTTTCGATCGTTCTGTGTAACGGGGCCATCATGTCAAATCAAAGTGGAGTATTACTGCTAATAAATAATCACCTTAAAACCAGATTCCTATTCTGAATAAGGAAGACCGGTGCATTCTCTCATTAGAGCCAATGTAGTGAATACCAAGGTAATTACACAGGTTTGGAGCTGAGTACATCCTTGAGATATCTGGCCATGTTTTGTTAGGCTGATGAACATCATTTGCAGCGTAATGACGTGCGGAGGGTGAACTCTTAATATGGCACCCCGGGGTTGACGGTGATAACAGCAGATGGTAGCACAGCATCTTCAGCGTGGGTGTTTGCATGACCACAGTGAATCAATAAGTACGTCATACTTTTATATCCTCATCCAATCATGAAACACAAGAAGCTGACAACTGGATAATAGCGGTTTACTTCAAGAGTATTACACTATGTTTGCGCAAATATTACAATGTGCTATTCAAACGATTCATAACGGGGTTCATCTCTTAAGGTTCAGTTCTGGACAGAGCGGTCAATCAAACGACCCATCGGTAAGGCGTCAATATAACTTACTCTCAGACGATGAAATGGATATTTGCTCTACTGTCAGAGACTTTGCATGTAATAACCCAATGCCAGTGA